GTCCTTTAAGAACTTTGTTGTTGAAATTTGTTTGATCTTCACACATTTTAAGACATTTATTGTAGTTGATATAACATGGCTTTGACAGTTCTAAAGCTTTGATACTCCTGGGGAGCTTGTGGCAGTTTCCCTGGTATACGGAGTACACAACTGTGGTTGAGGTACTGGTATCTGATTTCTCCTAATAAATCTGCCCATGGGATGGGCGTGATCGAACCCAATGTCATACGTTAGGCAGGCTTCTTTTACATGTCACTGTGCGGAAGTATCAGCCTAGGTGAAAAACCGTTGGATCAACACATACACCAAGCTTGCACAGCAATCCGCAGGATGGTTAGAACTTTCAATATGGTAGGCGGACTCTCCTTCATGCATACATTCCCTTGATATATTGAGTGCTACATTTCGGAATTTCGAGCATGTGCACAGAATACCGTGGAATGGTGAGATGGGCACAATTTATGTTTCACCAATCCACAGGATTAAATGACCACGTTGCAAGGGATCATCACATGATGCCAAGGGGAAATGAAATTCCTTTTGTTTTTGTGGTTTCGTGCCTTAAACCTTCGCGTTCAGCTCATGATTTCTGCAGCACAGTCTTTTCGCGATATCACGACATCAATATAGCAATACACACCACGTGTGTAGAACTTCAGATTTCTACAGTAGCAATATACTATCAAGCTTTCTACAAACTTTCAACCATGCTATACTGCCACATATGTTACCGAAGTTTCCCTACCAGACGAGCCCTCGACCAGCACCTTGATTCACCAGTGCACCGCCCTTCCTATTACTGTGACTCCTGTGACCGCGATTTTGGAAGCCAACATGCGTTGAACCAACACTTGAGTTCACCTGTTCACAAGCCCCAATATTTTTGCTCTCCATGCAACCGCTATTTCTGGACCGCCGATGCACTGGATCAGCACCGGGCTAGATCAGAAGAACACCGCCGTGATCAGCACCGGGCTAGATCAGAAGGACACCGCCGTGATCAGCACCGGGCTAGATCAGAAGAACACCGCCGTACTGAATATTTCTGTGTTGGGTGCTGCAGGACGTTTGGGTCATCGTCGGCGATGATGCAACACTTGGAAAGTAGGGTGTGCCGCGCGGGTAGACCTAGAGGCTGTTAGAATGAATGTCCCGTCACCCTATTTCCGTTAAGCTGTTGTTCAGCTATCTCCGTTAAGGCTGTTATTTAGTTACCTCCGTTAAGCAGACCTCCGTTAAGCAGACCTCCGTTAAGCAGACCTCCGTTAAGCTGCTGTCACTAACTCGGCTAGTACATATATAACCTTTCGCTTGGTTAAAGTCATTTACTTTTTTTCAGCATTTACTCGCATCTCTTAATATTTTTGCAGTATTGTTGCTCATAGTACACGCAATCACTTTGTTCATGGCTTAGACCATATTCATTTACTTTCATGTGTTAGAAAGCTCGGGTTTACATACAATCCTGTATATAAGGCCCTCGCTTTCCAATATCTAGCTATACAGAACAATCATTCCACCTCACTTCGAATATCTCGTTCGCCTTGCTCTCTGCTATGATAAAGCCTCTGCTTCACATAGTTTAGCTCACCTTTCCACCTTGTTCTATCTAACCTGGGCACCTTGCACAAGGGCCTGGTGGATAGATTTGCTGTTAGTGTCGATCAAACACACATGTTTTCGGTAGGAGGAGGGCTGCTCGAGTTACCCCAGCAGAGGAAAGGCGAATGATTGAGGTTGATGGCGACGAGCCCGAGGATCTAGAGATTAGCGGTGGGGATGCTGGTCTACCAAGTGCTGCTTCTGGCATTTCCGCAGCAAGTTCAGCCACAGTCCTTACCCCAGATACGGTCACTATTCTTACCCCGGCTATGGAACCGTCAGCCTTCCAGACTCCGGGATCGATATCTGGGGTGCCAATCTTCACACCAAGGACGCCATTTCCAGAATTAACAACCGGGGGTGTCAATCCCTCCATCTTAATAGAAAGGTTGCAAAAATTGACACCAAGGATCATCGAGATTCCTCCTATTTATTTCTGCCCTGTTCGGGGTTGCACTGGAAGCACCACTGGTAAAACATTCTCGTCCTTGAGTGGGCTGTTTCAACATATGGAGCGAAGCTGACAGGGGTTCTGCTAGACAATAGCAATTTAGATATCTGAAATAATGTTCAGGAGATCTGCTTGCGAAGCATGAGAAGCTTCCAGTTCTTAGCCTCAATTGGTATTCTTTAGCCATAGTTTAGAGGATAATGAACCTAGTGGTTTTTTTTCCTTTGAGGCGTTTGCCCCCCCTCCCCCCTCCTTTTATAGTAAATTGCTTCTCCTGCACAAGGGAACTTTACCAACAGTTTGGTTCACATCTATGAATACCAGTAAACCTAGCTAGTAGTGCTTTGCCTTAATGTGGGTTCAGATCTGGGAAATGCTCTCGCAGCGGGATAACCACCGTGAAGCTCAACGTTCAGGGTAACCCGTAGAATTAGTCACACCAAAGCATTTTGATAAAAACATTTTTCTCGCCAAGACAAAATGCTAGCCGCCATGGGGCCTGATTAAGTTAGTTTATCAGATCCCTCGGTCCCCAATCTTGTTCGAAAAATGGCTGTTCTGGCATAAAAACTGCCTTGGACGAAGACTACTAATATTGTCCCAGCACTACCGGAATGAAGGAACGGCTTTGCCAATCCGTGGGCTGCTGGAGATCAGAAAGTTCTGGGGAGGTACAATTAACAATATTATGGATGCCCCGAGATGTGAAATGTGTGGCTCTCGCACTTCATAACGTTCAATTATAACATGTATGGAGTTGTGCATACGTGGATCACTCGCTGGAAGGCATGTCATGTGATGTGGGATGTGTGTGATTCTACTGCGTGTTGGAAGTATTCGTTAATCAGGTTCTCCAAGGGACCTGCCAGTGGATCCATAGGGCATGGACAAGCTTTTTATAGATATCACTGCGCCGGATGTATTAGCCGACCAAAAACCGCTATGAACGTTAACGAGACGAATGCAAGTAACCTTGGAGGAATTGATAAAACTTGCTTGGACTGGATTGCTGAAATCTCTATACTATACTAGGTCTGCAGTTGTCTTCTGGATGAAGTATACCCCCAACATCTTAGCCCAGATATCAATGCTTCAATTGAGAAATCCAAGAGGTTTTTGATATCAACATTACTAGAGTTGGTGTAGTTGCTGTTCGTTGGAATCGTTGCCCTGATCAAGTCCAGCGGATCAAGCTCAGTGATGCTGATATCGAGCGCATGATACTTATTACTTAAAACACAAAGAGCGAGTAAAAAGGAATGCACCACCAAAATTAAATCAGTGATTGTCAAATCACAACTTGGTTCATGTGTCGAGTGTCACCACTCGTCACTCACACTGTATAATCTACTCATACGGCGCTGCCTTGGGACTATCCCCTTGCGCCTCTGAGTCAACCATAGGTTTGTCTCGAGGGAAAATATTTGATTCATCAAGAAAGCCCAATGTAGTGGCAGAAGACTCTCTGTACAGTTTCTCTTAGATGTTGCGTATGTAGAGCCCAGCGGACATACTAGCCTGAATTATGAACTTAATAAGATACCAGGATACACAATGCATACTCTGTACAGAGTACGGAATAATACAAGAAATGCAGTCCGTATAATAAGCCTCAAGGATATCAATACCATGCCTGCCAGCACTTGCACCACGGGATAGATACTGGTGTGCTGCAATGACTTCTTGTACTGCAAGAAGATCTTGAATATGCTCCTCCTCCTCCTCCTTCTCCTCATGCTGCCTTTGACTACCTCTTCCGATACCAATACCGTAGTAATTGGCAATTAACGCCCCCCCTCCTCACATACCGCCCCCCCTATATTTAGAGGCCTTATGTCTTACTATTCTACATATACCTTAGTACATATACAACGCTATCTATGTATAGTTAAGTACAAAGGAAAGACAGTGCCATAGCGTCAGAAGTTCTAGCTACATTGGTATCAGCCAAAAGATCAGACTCAAAAACATATTCACCGGCGCCTTGATTTTGAAGTGGTGATAGCTCATCAAAGATATCTTCTTCAATAAGATCTTCATCGTGTTCTGAAAAATCAAGCTCGCCAGCACAAGTTTTACCAGCAGAGTTAAGGTTGCAGTCCAGACCGTGAGACCGAGATAGACGCCATTCTCCAATAGAAATACTTGGTAGATCTTTGATGCGGAGTAAGGAATCCGTGTTGAACCATCTGGCTGAAGTGAAAGACCAGTATAGAGAAATGCTCGCTGAATAAGAAGTTGACGTTCGGTATGAAGCCATTGCCATGAATCAGCAACTACTCTGGTGATAACAATTCGCCGATCGGATATCGAAAAGTCATTCTCCCACACATCTGGATTGTTTTCTGCCTCTTCATCTAGAAGAATACTAATTTTCTCTTTTAGTATCTTAGGTATTATCTGGGGATGGCATTGTGACAATTAGCTATTAAACTCATGCTCTACAGTATTCCTAAGACGTACCTTCTGTCTTCTTCTTCACGCTCTATTCACGTCTGGCTGGGTGGTTGGTAGTTGAGTCGGTGGTCTATCTGTACAGAGAACCGTGCCCGCCAGACTATGAGACACCTACCTAGCGCACCCAAGAACTCTAAATATAGGGGGGGCGGTATGTGAGGAGGGGGGGCGTTAATTGCCAATTACTACGGTAAATAAGACAATGCTGCAATCGTATTCTGACGTTCGAGGCATGCTTGGCATTGCTTGCGATGGTTGCTTGCTTTCGATCGGTGGTTGCTTGCTGAAGTTACAATCAGAACGAACCTGGGGCCGTCGGCCTCTACGGGTTTATTTTGTGGCTTTGTACTAAAAAGTTGTGCATGAACCAAGTTGTGATTTGACCACCCACATTCTTCTGGGTGTGAAGTTGTCACTTTTGGTTACTTAAATCTGTTGCGATTAACTCCGTGCATAATATTTATTAAACTCCAAATGAAACCAAATAAGTGGTTCTATGGCGCAATTGGTTAGCGCGTCCGGCTGTTAATGGTCTTTATGACCATTGCACACCGGGAGGTTGAAAGTTCGAGTCTTTCTAGTACCGATCGCTTACTTTTATTTCTGCATCCAAAAGCAGTCTTTCAGCATTCCCATCTTTTTGCCCTATCCTAACCCGCCAGAATATCCTAAACCTACATGAGGCAAAAATCAACCCCATTAAGATGAATGTCTGAAATTCGATACAAATTCAATAAATACGGCCCGGGAGATGTTAAGTAGATATATCCTTCCGAGAAATCGAAGTCTCTCATCATAGTTCGAATACGAATAGGTACTGTTTTTTTTTCTTTTTTCGTTCTTTTAAGATTTTATCTCTTCCCGAAACTCCCTAAGACCAGTAAAATTTACACCACAGTTTCACTGTAGCTGTGGCCAAGTTGCCTATACATGGATGAATAAAGAAGCCTCAGGAAGCCCTACACTTTCGCTATATCTATTGTTTTCACTCTAGTAAGCAAAGTTTACCTGTGTGCAGAAGGAAATTATCCCTTCAGTACAAGTTTTTCAGTTTGCTATGCATCCCGTGCAAGGAATGAGCCATTTTAGACCAATTCCATGCACAGAGGGCCGGGAGAGTTCTCTGCTGGCGTCGACTCAGATCTGGATTCAGGTATGGACAAAGGTGTTTGGGACTCGGTGCCTACCGTATATCGTCAGGGTTGGAGTGGCACCGCATGATTGATTACCACCAGCGAGCCAAACTGTACCTACTACGTTCGTTATAGCCCAACCAAATATTGAGCAAGTAGAAATCAATCAAAGGCATTGGGTTGGCGCTTTACTAATTAGAATTTTACGGTTGAAACAGGTCACAAAGCAGGGGTCAGGCAGTCCTTCTTCATGACGACACGTATGATTCATTTGCAAAGGCATACTGGTTAGATGCCAAAAGAGTGGCAACTTATCGGAGACCGGAACGTCCATCCTGGTCGTTAGAGATATTTGCACAAAAATTCGTCAGATCACGTGTGATGGCAGAATAGAGAGATCCGTCAGCTAGAGCACGAAAAGAATAGTTTTCATAGTAGCACCATAATACTGTATTACCATACAGTCAATATCACATCAATTATCAAGCGTTAGAGTAGTCTGCGCCATGATGGTTCCACGCTATATGCGAGATAAAAATATAAAAACAATAAAACAAATAAAGAATAATAAAAAAAGGGAACATTGTTTATGGAGGGACTCCTTGGCGGTCTCGTGGAATCGATAGGTAACCTAACCTCCAGGGCGCCTGGGGAGTTGCCTTTCCTTCACCGGCGCTGATGTGTTGTGAGATGTAAGCGCTAAAATGCCACAGCGGGAGCAGGTATGATAGAGTAGGTATTTTATGAGGGTACCTACTGTAGGGCTCGGACTTTTCCGAGACTTCTAAGTCTAGCTGGCCCTCTATATACGGGTTCTTCATGCAAGAATCAATGGAATGGTAGTAAACAAAAACAAAAGAAAAATAAAAAAACTATTCCGGTAAGTCTTATGGAACTTATGTATCTCAGATATGTAATTCTACATGGCAAAATATTTCATTCAGGTGGTCGGCCAGTCCCATTGGAGTGCATTCAATATTAATATCATCACCAATACGACTTCAAACAACCATCCCTGCCTAGTTAGACCACCGGCGGATGCCATCCCAGACCTGGGCTAGCCCCATCTATGCCTCCAGCCGAGCTAGCCTCGTACAAACCAGGTGCTCGAATATGGAATAGAGCACCAAAGGTTCCACACCAAAGAAGTTATTTTTGGCATCCGTGTTGATTCGTGTGACACCAGCAGATGTTGGAGCATAAGCATGACCATGGAGCATGGGCATGAGGGTTTAGCCCATCGGGGGAATGTAATGCACGCTTAAATCTTTATTTTATTGCAGTATCTAGAGTGACACTGGCCCACATTCTTCATTCATTCTTGAGATTAACTTCTCCTTGAGTTCTGAGTTCGCACGCTACACAGCTGTGCGGAGGCAGGCCGAGAATTTCGCGCGGGATAAAATATATAGCGTTGCGAGAACCGTGGTGTTCTATATCAGCTCGCACTATCTTAACCGGATCGGTCTCGATCAACAGGGAATTAAGCCATCTTTTCACTGACAAGGTTGTTATAATCCAAGCACAGTGAACGCGGCAGGGCATCGATCTAGGTACTTGGATAATTAGGATACGCTCCTTTTGACAGGCGCAATATAACGGCTTGTCTCGGAGCGGGTGCTGTCATTTTTGGACGGCAGGTAGAATAGGTCGAATAGGCACACGGCGCGTCCTCCTTGAGCCAACTTTTGCCCACCACCGAGTTTCCCAGATCTAGATATCCAGGTATCCATCAACATACGAAACCCCATCATCCCCAGAGGGCGATTCCTCCGGCTGCTCATACTTATCCCGACAACCTTCTCAGCCTTTGCCTCGCGTCAGCCCCGTTCCATAATCCAATTTCATCGGTTCATCTGGTTATCTTAAAATCTACAGGAACTAATTAGTGGCGCTCATATCGCCCGTGGGCCAGTCAACGACCTCAGACTACTCCAAGCTGCAGCTGGTGAGCGATCAACGGAACACGCTGATTCGTTCCCACACCAGATATCATATATGCACATTTCACGTTTCGTCTAGGCTCATCTTATTGTGTGCAGGTTTCAGCGCTGCGCAGGAATTATCTTTTGCGGATCCGATTGAAGGAGGCACGAACGAGCCGCAATATAATTAGGGCGGATGGTATTTAGGCGGTTGCCACTGCACAGCAATTCAGCTTGAGCTCCTCGCTATATACACATCATATATCGACGCAAGTACGGAGCGGCGCAGGGAAGCAGGGAGGAAGGAATTTATATATATACAAATATATATATATATATGTTAATTGCGAGCGGCGTTTTGGTTTATCTCAGTTGTGCGTCTAGATTCAAGAGTACTTTCTTACGAGCTCGAGTCGACTTTCTGGAGAGTCGCCCGAGGGAGTCATATCAGCAAGAAAATTAATTATAAACACCGGCATCCCTTCGTCAGCATAGATGCCTACAAAAACAGTCATAGTTCACCTTCCCCTCAAATCCACTGGGAATTCTAATCTCAACTCTCCGAATGGATTCACCTCAACCAGCTTCAAAAGTTCCATGGCCACAACAATCACCACCATGAGCATCCCTACCCCCACCGCTAGATCCACCCCAACAAGCTTAAAAGCGAATACCACCGATGCAGTCGAACAGCGGAGATCCTCGACCCTCCGCAAGAGATCGGACCGCCGGGTAAAAGCGTTATCCGTTGGACACATCTCTCCGAATTCATCGCCGATGCATGCCCCACCGGGTCTGGATTTGAGGTATGAAGGATTGAGTATACAAAGCGAGATTGACGGCGAGAGAAGAGGTATCGATGAGAGGATTTTTGGTCATACCGGGCTGCAGCCAATGCCCACCCCGACTGCAACTGGGGCTGCACCGCAGAAACCGAGTTATATGGCACGGGTTGCGAACGGGTTGGGGTTTATGAGCAAGGGTGGGTCTGAGGAGAAAACCCAAAAGGTCAAGGAGTCATCGAACCCGAATTCGCAGATCAAGACACTCGGGTTGGGGTTGGGCGCGGGCATATTATTCGGGGCATCAGCAACTGCAGCTTCTCAGCTCGGTACCGGTGCTGGTTGGGGTGAATCAACTCGGAGTCGGAGATCCCGATCGAAAAGCAATAGCAGTCGACCAGGGACCGCGGCGGGGTTAATCACAACTACAGGCAGCACCAATATCAGGCCCAAGGTCGTTGACGTTGATAAACCCCTTCCCTCCTGTCCTGGCATCTCGTCGAATAATAGTAATAGCCGCTACTCCCTCCGCGCGGAGGGAGCGCAAACACCCTTCGGTACACCAGGCTCGTACAGTCTTCTTTTCGTCGACCACGAATTCGAATCACTCACACACGCACCGAGGCCGAGTAGTGCGGCGAATTTCATTAATGGCAGGCCGAGGTCGATATCGACATCTGCGGGGGGAACGCCGGCAACGACCAGGCCGCCATCAGTGGTGAATGCCAGGCAGGCGGGAGTGAGTATGAAGCTGGAACCGATTATTCCGGTGCATGTGCTGGATCAGATGGTCAGTGCGAGCCCGCAGGAGATGTCCCCTGGGCCGGTGCAGAGGTATTTTCCTCCTTCGACGCAGGGGCCGGGGAAGTCGGCTGCTGGGGGTATATTGCAGCGGCGGCAGAGTAGCCAGAGTAGGAAAAGTGAGCGTTTGGGGAGAATGGGAAGCGGGGAGGATCTTGTGCGATCCGGTACGCCGGTGCAGGACGCGGAGATGGCGATTCGCGCGAGGTCATTATCGAGATCGAATTCGACTACGGTTAGGACGGGTACGTCTTACTCGCGCAGGCCGAGTAAGAGTAGTAGCTTGCGCAGGGAAATGAGAGCTGAGAGTCCACCGGGTGTTGGGGAAAGCATACGCAGTTGCAGTACGAGTAGACCCGGGACAAGTGGATCGATGTATACGGCCGTCATCAGCCGGAGTAATAGCACCGTTTCACGGAGACAGTTGGCCGTAGAGTCTGAGGACGAGGAAGAGGAGGAGCGGCGGGGTCGTGGGAGAAGCCCTGGTGGGAGGAAAGGGTTGAGGAGGTTTGGTAGTATTGAACGGGAAGATAGACGACAACAGTTTTGGGGGCTGGAGGACAACTTATCACGAATCATTGAGAACGGGCCTGGAGACCAGCATGTTCAAGAACAAGGGAAAGAGCAGTTTTCAGGAGCAGCTGGGGACATTAGGGAGGCTACAAAAAAGGCCGCAGAACTGGCGAGAAAGCCTGTGCCTGTGCCGACACGCCCCGGCCCGCGCAACCCATCGAGGTCAACATCGAGATCAAGATCAAGGTCAAAGTCATCAAGGATGCCCCGGCCAACAAGCCCGGAATATAACGCAATAAACACAGCAATGAACACAATCAGCGAAGTGCAAACGGCCCGGGCCCCAGTGGCACCGGCACCCCGAGCGAGGATCTTCAATCTCGATAGGAATGGCAAGTCCAGGACACCAAGTCCACTGAGGCCGACGGTAGG